ACGATTGAATTGTAAGACATTATCATTTTTTATGTCATTTTCTATTTTTATTTGACAATTGAATTGTTAATACACGACAACTATTGATATAATAATAATAAAACTTTCTTTGCTTTTATTTTTTGGTCTTTCTTTTGGCGTCGAATTTAATTTAAATTTTAAAACCCAAACAAATGAGACATTTCTTGGATTCTCAGTCAAAGAAGTTGGAGAACAACAACAAGAGAGAGAGAGAGAGAGAGAGAAAATGTATTTCAATTTTATTCCCAAAATTTATATAACACTATATTTTTTATTATCAGAGGAATAGCTCAACAATAAAAGCCCATATCTAGTGAATGGGGACAAGAAATGGATTTGAAATATGAAATGAGAAAAATTTTAAATATAAATTCAGTTCAATTTATCCATATTTTCTTATATATATATTTTTATATTCTTTGCCGATATATATGTGACAAAAATTTTGAGTATTTGTTTCCATAGAAGCCATAAATATCTTCTGCAGTATTAGTGAACACAATATTTGTATCATTTTTATACACTTTTTCATCGATTCTGTAATACAATTAATTTACTGCTAATTATTAATAAATTTTATATTAATTAAAAATACTTTAATTTAAATAACAATAGATATAAATAAATTCTTTAAGTATAAATCTTTTAAAAAGTTAAATATATAGATTTATTAATACTGTATAATAAATGTAGACTTTTTTTTATTAAGAAATGGATATTATTTATGAAATGACAGAATATTTGGATAAATTTATTACAGAAAACACAATATCTTTAATTAAATCTAAGTCTTCAGCTGTCGTTTTGTATTATTTATGAATTACATATCATTTTATGAATATTTTTTACAATAAATTATATTTAAATTCAACCAAATGTTTAAAGAAAAAATTAATCTATTTTTAAGAGTACAGAAATTATTTTTATATTATTTTACACATTTGTTTTGTGACAAAACTTTTGTCAAAATTGATTAAAATATACATATTTATGAAATAATAAATAAATTGCATTGTTATGTATTAAAAGCATAAAAACCTTTGGTAATAAATATAATTTGTACATGTGCAATTGCATATCATATTGTATTATTTCCATTTGTTTATAATATAATTAGATTTATTGATATAATTTACAATTACAATTCTCATTCAACCACTTATTTTCTAACATATCAAACCTGTCAACCCTTTTAAAAATTATATGTAAATCTATTACTAATGAACTGATCCAAGTGTTTTGAAAGAGTCTAGCTACATTATATTATATAATGTGTATGTCAAATATACATTATATAATTTAATCATAAGATTTAAAGAGTGGGTTGAGTTGATATCAAGTATAATAATAAGCAGTATTATTAATATTACGTATTTCTAAACTCCATTGTTTGTGTCTCTCATTTAACTATTAGTTTACAAAATAATTCATTTCAATTCAATTTACAAAATTAAAAACGTTTAAACATTCATTTAAAAAAATTGATTGCAAATTAAATATTGAAATACAATGAAAATAATGGTAAAATTACTAATTAGAATCATGGTTGTTTTATTGACCGCTCACGAGTCGATGGCCGGTATTCTGGGTTTATTAGGCGGTTATGGTTTGTGCCAAACGGCGTGTAACGCCGCGTGGGTCGCGTGTTTGGCGTCGGCTGGTGTTGTGGCCGGTATGCTATTAAATATCATGATGTTATACAATTGTAGTATTACTCACAATACTTTTGCTTTAATACTTAACCACAGGTACTGTGACGGCCGGTGCGGGAGCGCCCGCCGCAGTCTTGGCCTGCAATGCACTCCAAGGCGTTTGTATGGGCAGCTGTGCCGTCACTTTTCTTGTCGCCCCCACGCCATAAGGTTTCCCTCTTTTGGTTTTCAAATCAAGAATTATTTACAATTTTTATTGTTTTAAATTAATTAATTGATTGAAAATTAATTTAAGTAAATCGAGAAAATTTATTGAATACAATGTATTGGAAATTTTAATTAAAAGATATATTATTAATATGCCATAAATGTGACTGAATTTAATCCCTTAATCTGTAGATAGAGTCAGCAATTACTGACTTTAGATCTCTATTTTTTCCATAAATTTTAACTACAAATCCTTCCCCTGATTATTAACTTAATAATGTCTTCCCTATGATTATTAACATAAGTAATTGGCATTTATTTGTGCACAATATATGAAAGGATTAAGTTTTCATATGAGTTAATATCTATTTTATGCGATAATAAGGAATAGTTTTGGCCTTCAAAGAATTTAATACAGCATAGGATTGGGTGAATTTGTTAACCCTATCTCAGTTTGTTTGTTTCAGTATTTATTTTGATAACTCCTTATAACCCCTGACCTGTACTAACCAATCCAAAAGCTGTGGTTAATTAACAATTCACAACAAGGTATTTCTGAAAGGTATTTAATGTGTGCCTTCAGACATCATTTTTTCAGTCTTCATTTGGCACTTGTTTTGCTATTTTAACGTAAAGTTTTCATTACTATACAAATTATATCGTCGTTAGAAACAGTCAAACATTGAATTATTTTAATTTTGTGCGAAATAAATACCGCAATGAAAATGTTTGGAAAAGTCATAATTGCAGTAATGATTGTACTATCAGTGGTTCAGCAATCGTTGGCCGGTTTGGGCACTTTATTGGTCGGCTATGGTTTGTGTCAAACTGCGTGTAACGCCGCGTGGGTCACGTGTTTGGCGTCGGCCGGTGTAGTGGCCGGTACTGTGACCGCCGGCGCCGGAGTGCCCGCCGCTGTCTTGGGCTGCAATGCCCTCCAAGGAGTTTGTATGGCCAGCTGTGCCATTGGTTTTGCTGCCATTCCCGCCCCATAATGTCTGACCAGTTTTGGCTTTCAATTGGATATCAAATTATAATTAATGCAATGATTAGTCAGTTGTTTGTATCTCTAATTTTCAATATTTCAAACTAATTGTATTCAATTTATTTAATATTTATAATAACTTTGATTAGAAATTGTAATTATTTCATTTAAATCAAGACAAAAATACGATGTATTATAAAAATGTATAATTCAAATAAACGCATATTTATTTATAATTTTAAAGCAATTATTTATGAAACCATAGGAAATATTCATTAAATTTAATTATAAATAAATGCCATGTAATTGAATGACTAGAACAAAGACTAAAACACATTTACCGGTAATAAAAATTAACATCATTTTTAGTGTTGAAAAGACAATTACAAAGAGCACTCATTTTATGAACAAATAGATGTAATGTTTCTGTTATGAGATTAAAAATACAAACAAAAAATCTAATGTTTTTGTAGGGAAAAAGGGGTAATCGATTGGATTCACCGAAAATAATAATGCAATTCTGGCCTTAAGTCTAGACATAAAATGTAATGTTTCTGTTATGAGATTAAAAATACAAACAAAAAATCTAATGTTTTTGTAGGGAAAAAGGGGTAATCGATTGGATTCACCGAAAATAATAATGCAATTCTGGCCTTAAGTCTAGACATAAAATGAAAGTAAAATAAAATACTTTTAAAAATTACATATAAATTGGTTATGATATACATTTTAAGTAATACATTATAAGTATTCACTTGTCTTAAGACTTAAGTAAATACCAGCAATAATTAAATCCAAAACTTATACTCAACTTTATAATTAAGTAAAGCTTTGACTGAACCCTAACTTACATTATATTTATTACATTTCTGGGCTTTAAAACGCTTTTCATGTAAAGTCATTACCGAAGGAATAATTTTAGTAAAAGATTTATATATGAAATATGATTGTCTTAAAAGTCAATTCTTATAATACATTAAAGAAAATGGAAAAATGTCTATATATTTACGACACAATTGTTATAATGAAAACAATATACACTATGTATTGGCTGTAAGTATAGGCGAGTCGTGAGTGCGGTAATCAATGTTGAAATGATTGATATAATACAAGCATAAAATCGATGTTTATGTTAGGAAATAGTGAAATGTATATTATATAACACACATAACACATACACATTAAAAGTTTTGTGAGTTTACGCTTGTTTTGGCATTACATCCACAAAACACTACACAATGAATAATCAAATACACATTTTATACATCCCTTCATCCTCTCTCTCTCTCTCTCTCTCTCTCTCCTCCCGATCACAATATCTGTCATTAGTTATAACTTATGAGCAAAAATATATTGACGTCTAGTTTTGACTTCACTTCACTTTGAGTTACATTTTTATTTATTGCATAAATTATTTTCAATGACTATAAAATCGCTTCAATAGGCTTTACTAGAGATCACTAAAAGTTATTTTAAGACTTTATTTTTGCACACAATATATGTGTTGTAATGTTTTTATTGAGAGCCATAAACATAGTCTACTGTACATAATATGTATAATCGTTAAACGATTAAAGTTTATATAATTAAGTAATTAAATAAAACATTGATTTTAAGATTGTTTTACAACACTAAAGAAAATGATCAATATTTTTATTTTTGCCATTTCTTTGCAAAACAATTTATTTAATAGATATTTAAAAGGATTAGTTTTGGATAAAACTCAATACCCGGTCATCCGATTTATAAATATTATAAAATAAATGAGAAGATAATAAATTTGTTTGAAAAACTTTATAATACATTAAAGTGGGAATAATAGTAGAAAAAAAGTTTCAACATTAAGTTATATAAAAATAAATGAGTTTTCAGTGAAACAAAAAATATACAAAACTTTTTTCGGTCGTATATTAAAGATTCAAATGTCTATTATGTGTCGCAAGGGATTGGAGTAGAAAAGTATTGCGAAAGTTATTTGTATAAAAATATAATACAAACTAATGTTTAGATGAATTGAACAAATGAATGCTATTTTAAGGAATTATATTCTGTTATTTTCTAAATGAAAATTCTGTAGTCATTACACGAGACTATCATATAATAGGGATTACACGCAAATATAGTGAACACAAAAATTTTATGATCATATTTTTAGGTTTGTTTAAAGTATTTTAAATTTGAATTATGATTAAATGTAAAACTTTATCTCTATTTTCTTTCCTTCTTCTGTTGTCTCTTATCTTAGAGTTGATTAAAAAGAGGTTTATTAGTATTGGAAGAGAAATGTTTACAGAAGTTATCTTATTTTTATAATGCCTTTGAGCTCTACTCTCATGAATAACAGTAAATATATGTGTTGTGAATATTCATGTTTACATATAATATGCAAATCAATGTGTGTTTCGGAGACACAATATGTTTGAAGTGTGTGTTTAGGAGTTTTATAGCAGTGTTTCGAGAGTCGCCTTAATTAAGGTCTGCAGAGAATTGAGACTCAAAACTATATTCAAAATGCAATGCAAACACAGTTTTTGATTGTTTTTCTAATCATATAATACTCTCCTATGGTTTCCAGAGAGAGTCTCTCCATTGCACGACACGTGAGTTTGACAGTGAAGTCAGTCTAGTTAGTAATTACTGTATGTTTTGTATAATAAATACAAAAGACTTATCAAACGATACGATTTGTTTAGTCAATGGACCGCATCTTTAAAGACAGGGAGAGGAGAGCCTCCGACACGACCGACACATCCGAGAGTATAATTTGAAAATAATTGTTTTGCGAAACAATTTCAGATCATTAGTAGAGATATTATTATAAATTTTCATTTTCTGCTTCAATGAAACGACAAAATCAAAAACATTTTAAGTTAATTTTTTTCGTTGCAAATATTTCTATTGCTTTTATTCGCACGAATTTACTGACAATGACTTAACAATTACAACACTCTTTGCATTAAAATTGGATATCTGTTTACAATGTGTTTTAGTTAGACATTACTTTTGGTGCAATGAATACTAGTTTAGATGTGGTTAACGAAAAAAGTAATGTTTTAAACGAAAAACATTGCTTTTGTAGCACTGAATGCAAAATTAGTGAACAGAAAATTTACTGTGAATTTTGTTAATTATATAAAAGATATATTTAAATAAAATAACAAAATATTTTTATATTTACTATTTTTCACTTCAGATTCTCTCTCTCTCTCTCTCTCTCTCTCTCTCTCTCTCCTAACAAAACCGATACTATTTGTATGAAAATACAGATTTTATTTCTCTCGTCGTTTCTATCATTGCTTTTATATTATAAAAGAATGATTGATAGGAATTGGGGTAAAAACTCATGCATTTTGATTCTGAATGGAAATGATTTATGATTTACTTATTTAAATGACTTTTTAAGAAATAAAACTCTATTTTCATGAATTATTAATTTAATGGCCATTAAATCCATTCAATTAAATGTCTTCTATAGTGATGTAAAATCATTGTTTGTTATCTCTATTGTGTTTCTGTCCTTTTTTGAACAAAGGGTTGTAAATAACACAGCAATACATTAAATATAATTAAAATTAGTTAATAAAACTAATATTATTATACATAAATATTTATATTCTTATACACTTTATATGGTTATTTAAAATAGCTACATTGTATATTGACTTTATCAAAAAGTACACTATTTGAATAGTGAATAACAACACAATAGTTAAATGTTATAAGTACTGAGAAGTGAGAAATAATTTTTGACCGCATTTAATCTAAATATTAGTAAATAAATTAATTTGTATAATGTTTTTACAAATATTATCAATCATTTCCAGTAAATTAATGTTTGGACGTCTCAACAGAATTAAATAGAAATTAAAATTATTGTTGTATTTTATTTATAGGGAAGAATGCTTTCAATTGAATTGTATTTTAAATTAAAATAATTGTATTATATTTACTCAAACTTTAACATAACATAAAAATGGTTTTTACTAATGAATCTAAAATGTTAAATACAGCCCTAAATATATTATCTAATCATTTATAACTATTCCGTGAAAATAGTTTTTAATTATAATTTACACGGAAATACTACTAAATTATTTAATATACAACTTATGTAAAAAGTATT